TGTTTCTTAAAAAATCATTTTTTAATCAAAGTTTAGTGTTCGTTTGATTTTATTTTACATGAAAATTGTCCATTAAAGTGAATTTTTTTTTACCATTATTTATGACATTTGTTTCCATTATAAAAAAAAAAAAATTTACAGCTTGCCAGGAAAATATTTTCCCACCAAAAAGGCGGGAAAACATTTTCATCAAAAACTCGGAAATTGCACACGTGTGGGAAAAATCCAGAAAATATTTTCTGTGAAAAATTTCGCCTATCAAACAGTCAAAAAAGTGGAAAGTGAAAAAATTTCATACTTCCTCGGAAAATGTGTCATATCAAACACAGCCTTAGTAAATTACATGATAGAAACGGGGCTTATCTTGTTAATGGCAAGTGCGTGATTGAAGCTGAAGTATCTGTAATTGATGCTTTTCCACTTTCGACAGACGATGTAATTTTTGTTAGATCCCACGTTTTTTTTGGCATGGTTCATAGTTTGATTTCTGATTGATAGTTCTGATAAGCCTTCGAATTATTCTATTACTGTCGATCCTGTGGAATCTATTTACATCGAGGCTGAATCCTTTCTAAAGTCGATATCAAGGAAACCGACCACCTCAGTATCAGATGCTACATGTTCAGTGCCTTTGTTTAAAGACTATGCAAGTTTGGCGAAGGATGGTTTAACAAATTGATTTCATTTCCTTTACACGATCTAATCGATCCCAAGCATGAAACTGCGATTATAGAGTCTCTATCTAACTTGGCGACAACCTTTCTTTGTTTTCGGAAGAACAATCCAAACGGATCGATTATGAGTTCGAAAGCTACTTTTCCCGCTACTATACAGGATTGGAGGGACTCAGTTCAAGTTAATGTTGGTTACCAGCATCTCTGGTCGACTTTTGAGAAGACCAACAATTTACTTGAAGATTTAGTCAAAACTGAAGAGGGTGTAAAGGTTGAACTCAAGGAGTTGGACGATAAAGAAAATGAATTGGAGATGCAGCTGGAGGGACTTAAAATTAAAAGTCGACAACTCATGGACGAAAGAATAGAAGTATCGAAGCAAACAAAGCAAGTTTACGCTCTTGCAAAGGAGCAGTCGAAGAGTTGAAGGTGGATATTGCAAACAAGAAGTTGGAGGATTTGAAGGTTAAATGGGACTTCATTGAATCTCTCTTCACTTGAACTCTAAGAAAAAAAAATGGGACCTTGTGTACACAGACTTTGTTGCATCGAGAAGAAAGACACTAGATAACCCATGTTTGACACCCATTTTTTTCTTATTCTCATTCTCATTTTTTTTCTCTTTCTTCATTTCAACCACACATTCTATCAATAAAATAAAAATAATACTACACATAAATCCAAAAATTCTCATTACTTTTTAACCACACATTTTTTCATCAATCACTATTCCAGAATTTTTTTTTTGTCAAAAATGGTTGTCAAACATGGGGAATTTGTCATTTGTCAAGTTTACTGTAATTTGACAAGAATGCTATAAATTCGTACTCTGTCAAAACATCTTGCAATGCGACCATTCGTGCAAATTTAGCCCATGTTTTGGTACAAATTAATATTCAACCATATATTTTATGAGATTCACAACTTTTCAACCACACATTTTATCAATTTTTATCAAAATTTACTAAAATCTGATTTTTAATCCCCACTAGGGGCTTAACTGAAGTTGGGAATAATGCTAAGTGTACACAATCTTTTACACCTCTCTCACATGGAGGGGGGTCCACACATAATAAAATAATCGTGGGCCCCCCTCCATGTGAGGGGGTGTAAAAGATTGTGTAAAAAATTGTGTGTACACATAGCACCACTCAAAGAAAGAAGGAAAGATTTTTTTTTTTTGTCAAAAATGGGTGTGAAACATGGGGAATTTGTCATTTGTCAAGTTTACTGTAATTTGACAAGAATGCTATAAATTCGTACTCTGTCAAAACATCTTGCAATGCGACCATTCATGCAAATTTAGCCCATGTTTTGGTACAAATTAATATTCAACCATATATTTTATGAGATTCACAACTTTTCAACCACGCATTTTATCAATTTTTATTAAAATTTACTAAAATCTGATTTTTAATCCCCACCAGGGGCTTAACTGAAGTTGGATGGCACGTTTGATTGTCAGTTCTAATCTCTTATTGATGACGAAATTGAAGTAGTTAGACACGTACCTTAAACAATTGAACATTTGATGGTTCAAACAAAAATTTCTATCCATTAGATATTGAAAGCTGCAAAGGTGAAATGGAGACCAAGATACTCTAAATCGAAGGTTGAGAATCTAACTATTCTGTCACATAAGTTGAATACCCCAATTGAACCTATTTTTCTCGCCACTAAAATTATTCAAATTTTATTTACAGCCAGCTAAAATTCGAAAATTTTGATGATAATTATATTGTTAGAATTTGGGTGTGACCCGAATTCCTTGTTGAAGTAATTGAAAATTTTTAATTGAATAGAATGCTATTGGAGTTATATGTCAAATTGAAGTTCTATTTTTGAAGCACGTTGAGAGTTGAAAATTAGTATTATACTTGAAAAAAGAGTTTGAGATTGAGAAAACAATTTGGAAAAAAAAAAAAAATCTCGAACAAAACACCCTGCGCCGGAGCACCCACCTGGCATGTTTCTAGTTTTCCGCATTTTTTTCTCTTCGTTTTGAACTCAATATTTTGGCATTCTACTTCATCAACAACTCTACAAAAGGGTTTGGACGTCCCTTACATGTTCCCTATAAATAATAGGTTATTCTATACAATTTAATAAGTGTGAGGAAATGGATTACTAGACGTATAGGATCCATTGTAATTTTTATCTATTATCTATTATTCTTGAGTTAATGAAATCTTTTAATTCCTATGTTATATTCTTATCTTTATTATTCTTTTACTTGATCATATATTTCATTATTATTTGCAATATAATTTCAACATTTCAATCTGGTAATTTGTTTAACAACATATACAATTAACTATTAGAAAAGCTTTTCATATTAATATACTTCAAACTTCTATAGAACCCATCTACTCACATGAAAAGTTAAAAAAATTTCCAACTCTCGTACGGTGAGTTCTACTTTGAAAGTTTGCGAAGAGCTTGTAATTTTAAATTCATCTAATAAAAGAACCATTATTTTCTCATATTTTCAAGGGGAGTGCATGGGTTTATTTGAGAATCGTGAAAATGAAACTATCGATTTTATGGAAGAAAAGAATTGAATTGTCGATCTAATCCGATTCTTATTGTGAGTTAGCCTCTCTATTACAACTTTTAAGTAACTCTTAATCAAATCTAAAATCATTTGTTTGGTAATATAAAACATGATTCATAGTTGGCCAATCGAAACACTTATTATTCTCACTAACTTCACGTAGAAGTTCCATCTTCCAAATAGATTATCCACCCCCACCCCCGCACCCCACCCCCAACACACTTTATTTTTATTTCTTTAAATTTCATTTTTATTTTATTGTTCGTGTTATGTAGAATGGGAAAGAGCCTAGATTCAAATATAATAAGGTCATATGTACAATTAGCCAGCTATCCATATACCTCCAATCCTCTACCATGCTGGCCATGCACAACTGTCTTGCACCAGTATCTAGAGCATCACCACAGCTCAATTAGCTAGGAATCAAGGTCCAATTTCTCAAAAGATAGAACTAAGACTGGGGGAACAATTGTTGTTGTTGATCTAAAATCCACATAGGATAAGTTGGAGGCTTTCATTCACTTAGTGAAAAGCGTATGTTCGTTGAAAGGTCCAAACAACTCAGATCGACACCGTGACCTAATATCCCATCAGTACAGGTTGAAGTCGAACTATATGAGATGTCATAAGAAACATCATCATGATATCACGAAGGAAGTGTTCCTCATGACAATATCATCGTCCAAACCAACCAATCAAGAGGATGGCATGATGACTTAGCACACAAGCAAAGGTTAAGGTGTTATCATGACCCCGCGCGTAGTCGAAATCACCAACAAATCAAATCCCCTCAAATGGGATGTCGAAACACTATAGTTTGACGTGAATAGGGCATCAAGTTTCAACCTACATAAAGAGATGAAGGGTGAATGAGCGGCATCTGAACTACGATTTTCTATATACATTACAAAATTTAAATATTATAATACTTTTATTTAATTCAAAATCATAGAAATTAATCCAAACGTATCACGTCATTTTTTGCTATCAATATAACATTAGAATATGAGTTGTCAAGTATTGATAGCATGTTCGGCTTATTTTAGAATTTATTTTTTTTATGGAAAATATTTTTCAACTTTTAAAAATATGCCTATTTTTTTTTGTTTTTAAGGAAAACATTTTCTTCGGAGGAGTAGGTTTTTGCTTTCCTCAAAATAAGGAAAACATTTTCTTTTCTATGATATATTTTTCATGTCAATTAAATACACTCTAATTATTTATTTTATACTGAACGTTGTTGTCAATAATAAAATTTATAAAAATTCAACAAATTTGAATTGACATTGCGGGCCATACGGACTTAATCGGACCCAAGTCCAACCCGAAAACAGACCAAACGGCCCATATTAAGCGAATAAAGACCAAACTCCAAATTTTAAGCCCTAGCCCCCTCGAGTATTCCTCCTCTCTCCAAAACTTCAATCCAAAATTAGGATTAGGGTTTAGATCATAGAATATTCCTCTAACTATCTGTAAGTTTTTAGGGAAAATGTATTAAAAATTGAGATGGGCAAGAATGAGAAGGTGGTGAAATCAGCAAGAGCAGAAGAAGTTTCGTCGTCCGAGGAAGAAGAAGGAATGGCGAAAACGTTAATCAAAGAAGTGAACACTGACGATGATGAAGAGGCAAATGAAGACCTCAGTTTGAAAATCGTTCAAAGAGCCATGCAACGAGCATGTAATGGAGATCCCCAAAAAGACGGGGTTTCCGAAATTGTTACGAATTTAAAGGACGAGAAAAAGAAAAAGGAAAAAACGGAGAAGAAAAAGAAAAAGAAGAGCAAGGAAATGGTAGCCCCTCCAGAAGATGCCGTAAGTATTGAGTTATGATTGATTTGGCAGGATAAACAAAATTTGGTTTTTGAAAAATTAGATTTTTAATTTGGTGATTTAATTGGCGAGTTTCAACTAATTGAAAGAAGAAATTGATTAATGCATTAGCGAGTAATTTATGGTTTTCTACTTTTTATTCAGGATTCAGGTGAACTAGATGCTGGTTTCAAAAACTTTTGCGGCGAATTGTTCCTGGTAGTATCAATCATAGTATTTTCTATGTTATTGCATTGCTTTTTTCCCTAACAATGATTAGCTGATTTTTAATTTTTATTTTTTGCATTTTTGGGAGAGCAGTAGAATAGAATGCACAGTTCAACAGTTAACTTAAGCAGTGTGTTAATTATGTACATGGTAATTTCCCTGTGTGTATCAATAATGCTTGAGTAGTTGGATATTTTTGCTGTATAGGATAAAAATGCTGCTATCTAATAATGAAATGATATCAGAAAGCACACGAGATTTAAAATTTGGAACAAAACAAATTCTCCAATTATTAATGATAAGGTAACTTCACATCTACTTATTCCTGGAGAAGTTTATTGACTGGGAACATTCTTCTTTGATCATACATATTTCATAGTTAATACGAGTTTTCATTATTATGTTTCTTTTCTTTCCTATTGAATTATATAGTGCTTTAAAGTTGCGAACTTCTTTTGTTTATTAGCAGGTGCTCTGAGCTATTAGCTTTTCTCATGGTTCTTTTATTCTCTTTGACTGTGTTAGGAGGAAAATGCAAAGGATGAAGAGAAGTCTGGGACTGAGAAAGCTACTGAGATTTCTTATAAAGCAGTTGAAGCGAATCCTGTTGAGATGCCAGATAATGCTGTCCTGAGGAAGCTTCTTGTGAGTTGAAGTAATTTGTTTACAAGTGTCGATTTTAAGCTATCCAAACATTCCATTCAAAAAGGCTTAGTTCGGTGTATCTGTTTATTATACATTGTCGTGACCTCAGAGGGGGCCTAGGTACTTTGATCCTCCGGACAGTTGGGGAACATGCTATAATTGTGGTGAAGAGGGTCATACAACTGTCAACTGTACTTCAGCAAAGCGCAAGAAGCCTTGCTTTGTTTGTGGAAGTTTAGAACATAATGCCAAGCATTGTTCCAAGGTGTGTGGCCAGATAATTTATTAGCTGACATATTTTACGGATTTGCTTTTTGTCACATAATGATTCTTCTTACAACTTGTTTTAAATTCCTACACACTGTAATTTACTTTATCTGGAGTGACCTAAATTTAAAATGTATATGCTTTTCTTGTGCTGGTTCGTAAGGGTAAAAAGGATCTCTAAATTTTGGATATTTGGTTCAAAGTAATATCTCTCAGTGCTAGAATGCTTGGCTAAGTGGTAGTGGTTTTCTCACCCCACCCCCATTTTTATTGAATAAAATTGAAATAACTTGGCATCATTTAAAACTAGAACTTTGAGAAGGGAGCAAGCATGCAACTGGTATGTATGTCAGGGAGACGGATTTCTTCTTGTTTACTGCTCTTCGCATCTAATCCTCTTGACTCCAGGTGCTATGTGGAATACGGGGAACACTTTCACATTTTTTTATTGTTTATAAATGATTGTGTTTTTGATCTATAAATATTGCCTGTAGATGATGTCCTTATTGTGTAGTGGCTGAAAAATCTGTTGACACATGATAGCTCTATATATTCTATGCTATTTCTGTAATGTAACATTTTGTTTACTTATGTAAGCTGATGTCTGCACACAGATGCCTAAAGTCAATAGAGAAATGAAGATGTGAGGTCTGTTTTCCCTGATAATTTTCAAACTGTCAATAGTGGATTTCAATGTGGCAGAGTTTTCCCAAACTAAAACCTTTTTGAAAAATGATTGAAATTAAGCATTTTTTGCGCTCTCTAAATTGGGTTTTTTTTTTGTCTATGAGAAGTTTTGGTTCTCTTCGGAAGATGAAATTGGCAACTTTACTCTATTATCCTGTACAGAAATCTGCGGGAGGACATTTCCAAAAGTATTGCGAACTTGGTGCAGGGAAATTCATTACAATGTTTTCTAGGTTGTGAAAATGATGATATGTATAACTTGCTGCAGACTGGTGGAAGATGTCCATAAAATGCTGCCAAGCAATTTACTATTTTTATGGAATAGTCTTATTGTATGTATGCTTCGATTGATACCACAGTTCATGTACGTCCTCCGTGGTTTATAAGTGATCTCTAATGATCTTATGAAGGAATAAACATTATTTACGGAGCATGAACATCTTATGCTTTTGATTTGATCTAGTGGTATTTTATTCTTTCTTGTTTACTTAAACAGGGACAAGATTGCTACATCTGCAAACAAAAGGGTCATCGTGCAAAAGATTGCCCTGAGAAAGGCAGAGTGGAGTCATGGAGTTCTAAGATGTGTTTAAAATGTGGGGAGTCTGGACATGATATGTTTTCATGCAGGAACGACTATTCTCCTGATGACCTCAAGGTTCATGACTCTTCTGTTTGTATTTGTATCAATTGTGTATATATATTTATTGCAATGATCTTGAGTGTATTTACTTGTTGCTAAATATATATGGGTCTGCTCCTTGATTTGATTGTACGAGCATATTATGATTAATTTTTAGCATTCCCCTTGATCCTTGCAGGAAATGCAGTGTTACATTTGCCAAAAGATTGGACATCTGTGTTGTGTAAACTATGCTGATCCCACACCAAGAGAGGTCTCCTGTTATCGATGTGGTCTCTTGGGCCATACTGGTTTGGTGAGTTTACATGATGTTATTGATTTTGTTCTTAAGTTCACTTATTTGGAAGATAAAATGCTTAGGACCAAATTTAATGTTGTATACAATGCGTTAAACAGTTAAATCCTTTACTGTAATGTCCTCAATAGAATTAGTTGTCGGCTGAAACTGTTGTAAAACTTTATGTTCTTGTTTGATATGTTCTGCGAGTAGCTAGTCACTAAAATATCAAGTCATGCACTTCTACCACTTTCTGTAAATTGTCAGTTTAGAGTAGGATCTAAAGAAAATCGCACCCTATTTTCTTATGGACAATTCACGATCTCTTCAATCAGCTGTGGCAGTCTTCTTCATGACTTGAGTTCTTTTGAGGGGAGGACTGTAGCTGGGCGCTGGGGTGATTGGTTTGAGAATTGGCTGAAAGATGCTTCAAATAATCATGTTTAGCTTCATTCCTTGCGTAGTGCTGAGTAGTTATCCTTGTTGATATGCATATCATTACACTGGGCATGTTGAACATGTTCCACACAAGATGGTTTCTTTGCATGAGTGAACAATGTTTGATATACCACGTCAGAATCTCAACAACCGGGAAGACAACTACGAGTTTAACAAGGGACTGACCTCAAGGAAGTAGTATATTTGGCAATATTAGCATCTTGCTATTTGATTTGGAAGGTTTCTTGCATTTTTTTGGCTTGATCAATTACTATTTTTTCTTATTTATGCAGTCTTGTACAGGGTCCCGTAGGGATACAACTACTGGATCAGATAATTCATGCTACAGGTGTGGGGAAGTGGGGCATTTTGCTCGTGAATGCACCATCTCAGCAAGAGTATGTTTCAAAGTTCCCCATTGGGCCTTTCATGATCCTTGCTCTTAATTGTGCCTTTTCAATTCACAAACACTGAACTACATCTGTATCCGTATCTCTGACCGAGAACCTTGCCTTTATTTGTTTGCTCATAGGCTGTCAAGAGAAATCGGGAATTATCAACCCCCAAGCAGAAATCTTCCAAGAAAAATAGAGATCACAAGGAATTTAAGTCTGCGCCTCATGATCTTGGCAAGAGTTATAAAAGAACCCAATATGAAGGGGGATACGCATCAGCTTCAAAAGCGAAACACAGAGGTGGTTGGATCACTGAAGACCCTGGAGACTATCATAACAATAGATACAAAGACAATAATTGGAGATCTCCTGCAACACCGAGTAGCAAAAGATCTAAGACATTTAATTCAACTGGTGATATTGCTTCAAGTTCTCATTCTTCAAATAAACCCCGTAAGCTTCATTTTAGTAATTCAGCTTCAAATGGGTCGGCCAAATTTTATCAGCAGCAGAGGTTTTCTGGCTCACGTTTTGGCAACAGCAGTTATGATGACACGAGAAGAGATTATGGTTGGTGATTAGGTGAGTGTGCTTTCCTAATGCTGGTTTGGGTATTTGCTGCTTCTGCACATTTATTTGGAGAAGACTGTGACTATTCTTTGCCTTCTGGGAGATCGTATCCTATAGATTCTTTAGGTGGCTAAATAGAAAGTCAAAAAGTCAACTCGGCCTGTGCTTAAATTGGATATCAAGGACATATCTCAAATTAGATATAAACCTAACTCAACACTGGCCTTGTGTTCTCCCCTCGATTTTTTTTTCTTGTTTTATTGTATAATACTTCTCCTTGCAATGTTTTTTTTTCCTCGATGTTCCGCCAACAGGCATGTAACTGTAATGTCGTTTTAACTGATTTCTATCATGTTTTTATTTTTATTTTCATTTTCCTGCCTCTTTGGATATTAAGCATTCCACTATATTGACTTAAAAAGTGGAAATGAATAAAATGAATGACTAAAAGGGTTTGTATGGAACTAGTAAAATTGATTTAGATAACTGAGTATTTTAAAGATTTGTAATTTTGAAATTTAGATATTTCATTTATCTAGTTGACAATGCACGAATTTGTACTCGATGAATCTTGTTTTGGTACTCGTTGGGTTTCTGTTTCATGTAAAAGAGTTTCATAATTAACTTATTTAGTTGATAATGCAGTAATTTGTACTCGACGAATCTTGCCTCCGTGCTCGTTTAGTAGGTTTCTATTCCTCGTAAAAGAGTTAAAAGTTGATATAGCTCGATAAAGAACTCTCATAAAATTATTCGGGCATGTTTTTAAAGTAATTTTTTAGTTTTAGACTTTTCGAAAGTTGAATGAAACAGAACATTAAATAAGGACAAAGAAAGAGGTGGAACAATTCCTTGCCACATAATTGAGATAGCAAATGGATTAAACCGCAAAGAAATACAACAGTCCTTGTTATTTTCATCTCTGGTTCCTCTACTCTAGTCCATGGCATTCAAATTCAATATTTCCTCCATGCCCACTTGTGCATATTCAAGGCCAAATCCAAACAACTCATCAGCATGCAGCCAGAGGAGCCAGTTTGTGGTAACCAAGTGTGAATTGAATGAAGAGGCAAAATTGGCTACAAACAAAGACTCGAAACTCAAAATTGGGTCTCCCATTATTGTAACCGAGGCTCCCCAAATGCTCAAAACTGCAGCCTCTGTTCCTTGTCTACGCATTAACGCTGGCTTGGTTAAACCCGGTGACGTCGGAAGGTATAATAATTTTACGCGTTTATACACATTACTTGCGAAAAAATTGGATCGTTCGTACATCTTTTTTCCCTTTTTTATACTTTTTCTATAATTTATCTTACCAAACAAGCTATATATACGTATTCCTAAGAATTACATTGAATTAAAGCGCAACCAGGAAAAAATTATTCTGAGCTTAGATAATTTTTATTTATTTTGTAGGGTTGTCTCGAGAAAACCTAAGGATGTATGGGCAGTTCGTCTTAGCATTGGTACTTACCTCATTGATGGAAAATATTTCAAACCCTTGGAGATTGATGAATAATAATTTCCATTAATCTATTGATAAACATGTATTTATAGCTGTTTAGTAGAGAGATTATTTTACCAAATTTGAACAGATTCTGCTCATAAATAGAGAGGATATACAAGTTTTCTTAGTCCATTACTTTGCAAGAAGTCAATGTCAGACTAAAAATCGATCCAAAACAATTATGCGAAAACAAATTGAGTTAAAAAATCGAAAACTCATGAATCGAGTTCATACCTCTCGCCATTGATGTTGTTTCAGAAGCATTCCTCTGTTCCAGGTAATAACATTTCTAAGCTCTCAACACTCTGAAATTGACGGTGTATATTATACTTTCGGTTGTCGAGCTTAGGAACATAGCCAAAACCCCATCAAATTATGGCTATTGTTACCTTCCAATCAATGGTGAAATGAAACCCTATGAATGCTGTTTGTAAAGGTTGAAAATTGAAACCATGAATGTGGACCATCAATTGCCCGTTGAAGAAACGGGAATGAATGGATCAGTTAGAGTCAATTCTAAATGTATCGACCTCGAAGACGCTTATTATTTTGATCGGTATACAAGAATATTATGACATTTTATGATAGCACGGAGAAAGAATAACGCATTCTCACTTTAACGATCTAAGGCCATTATAGTGACTGAAATAAATGCATCTTGAAGATCGATATTCAATCTCAATTTATTATGAAGTGGACGAGAATATTGACGTGTCAAAATATTAATTAATTATGAAATCACTAAAATGGAAATTCCAAAAAAGAAAAAAGGTAAAATGATAAATATAAGAAGTTGGTAAAACAGAACACGATAAATGTATATAGCGTTATGAGACCCGTGAACACAATTCCCTCCATTTTTTACCTTCTGCATCTTCACTCTCAACCACACGAACTGCAAATCAATTCGTAATCAACGCTTTCAGCTGGAGAGAGTCCAATATTTGAAACTAAAGACTCAAGAAATATCCATAGTCAACAAACAGTTTAAAAACCACCCAAAATCTGTGTTGGGAGGAGTTCACACTGATTAGTAAATGAATCAACAAAATATATGTGCAAAAGTAAAACTAAAGGAACAAGAATCAACAAAGTAAACTGAAAATAGACTCATCTCCAAGTCAAGAAATCAGTATAGCTAGCTTAGCTTACTGAAGAACAACCACTAATCTAGTGCAAATCACAACCAAAGTGAGATTATAAGAAGTGGACACTCGGATTAGACCGATTTATTACATAAAATAAGAGATCCCTCTTCGCAACACATGGTTCACCCAAGAACCAACCCTCAAACAACGAAATCACTCAAGATTTATAGACTTTTTGAGAGAAATCAGAAATCAAATGAAAATATTTGATTTCTACAGTGAAAAAGAAGACACAAGAGAAACGACGCAGTAGAGAGAACAATCGAAGAGTCTAGAAGCCAAAAAGAATGAATCTCAAACCCCAGAGACGCCTTTTATGAGTCTCATAAAGTGCCCTTCATCCAACGGCTGTGGTGATTGCACTAGGTGACATCCAAGCCTTCCATTTAAAAGGTAAGTAGAAAACACAACTTCAGTATCACAAAACACGTTTTTCCTTTGCACCGAGAACCAAACGGATTTAAGAGCTGGGCTTCAATTAAAAGGTAAGTAGAAAACACAACTTCAGCTTCACAGAAACACGCCTTTTCCCTTACGCCAAAGAACCAAACAGATTTAATAAGCTGGGCTTCAATTAAATTCCAGCTGGGCCAACAATTTCAGCCCATTGGGTCATTGCATCATTATGCCACAATTTCCTTTCAACGCGTTCTCAAAAAAATTAATAAGTACCGATTTTTCCAACCTCTCGTAAATAGTCATCAATAAAGGGTCAAAACCGGTCAGAAATTTCCATAGTCAACAAACATGTTTATTGTGCCAACATTATACACCAAAAGAAAAGGTTGCATTCAAAATTTATTTACAGTTATTAAGAAAATCACTGTTTATGGTAATCTAGTAAATGAAATTCCTAACTTTACAGAAAATCAAGAAACTAAATTTTGGCAAATCTTACAACAATGAACATGAGATTTTTCATTAGTATAGGGATTTCCTTAAACATTTTCTGTTATAAATACTCACTAAAGCAAGCTACAATTATCCTACATACAAAAATGGCTATCTGCAACTGCAAGTCTATCTTTCTTTTCGTTCTCATTAATGTTCCCCTTGTAGCCTTTGCTCAATTTGAACAATCAGTTAAGCAAGCGGGTTGCACCTATTTTCTTAATTTTTAAAAACGATAACATTATTTTTATTATTTTTTTGTATTTGTATTTTTGATGGAATTTTGTTTCGGGGAGTGCACGACGACGACGGCGGTATGCGGTGATTGTTATTGCAAGGAGCGATGTCTGCAAATGCATTTGGGGCGGCATGGTTACTGCAACGACCCGGTTCCTGGATCTATAGGAAAATGTTGTTGTGCAAGACAGGCCCCGGCTCAGGCTCTATCGAAAGAAAATAATGTTTTGGGTGGTAACTAATGAAAGTACACAACTTACTTGTGTATCGTTTGATTATCTTTCATTAGTAAAAAGATGTCAAATTTGGTTTTTTGACTATTTATTGGTGTTTCGTTTAGTTTTGAAGCCAGACACATTACAAGACTGGTGCTAAATATCATGAGCGTTACGTAGTGTTGTTTTAGATTTTAGGATAAATTGCAATAGTCGTCCTCAACTTTTTTAGAAAACCAGCATACATGACCCTATCCTTTTTTTTTTTTTTTTTTGCTACGATTCACCATCAACCATTTGAAAGTAGAAAAAAGACATCATTGTTTATAGATTCGATAAAAAAATGCACGTTAAAGTGATTTTAAATAGACAAGTTCCTCTTCTGATTCAACAATCCGAAAGCAATTGTACTTTTGTGTCGGCTTTTTATAGGTAAGATGTCACCCTTTGCCTACCAATAATGTGCTTTCTTGGAAGCCATTCAGCCTAAGGTAAGGGGAACGTTTTGACAATTTCACTAGTTACATAGTATTCTAGTGAATGAATTCCATATCTGTTTAGTAGAGAGATTATTTTACAAAATTTGAACAGATTCTGCTCATAAATAGAGAGGATATACAAGTTTTCTTAGTCCATTACTTTGCAACAAGCCAATGTCAGACTAAAAATCGATCCAAAACAATTATGCGGAAACAAATTGAGTTAAAAAATCGAAAACTCATGAATCGAGTTCATACCTATCGCCATTGATGTTGTTCCAGAAGCTCTCCTCTGTTCCAGGTAATGGCATTTCTAAGCTCTCAACACTCTGAAATTGACGGTGTATATTATACTTTCGGTTGTCAAGCTTAGGAACCAAACCCATCTATATATATATATATATACACACACACACACCCCATCAAATTATGGCTATTGTTACCTTCCAATCAATGGTGAAATGAAACCCTATGAATGCTGTTTGTAAAGGTTGAAAACTGAAACCATGAATGTGGACCATCAATTGCCCGTTCAAGAAACGGGAATGAATGGATCAGTTGGCGTCAATTCTAAATGTATCGACTTTGAAGATGCTTATTATTTTGATCGGTATACAAGAATATTATAACATTTTATGATAGCACGGAGAAAGAATAATGCATTCCCACTTTAACGATCTAAGGCCATTATAGTGACTGAAATAAATGCATCTTGAAGATCGATATTCAATCTCAATTTATTATGAAGTGGACGAGAATATTGTCGTGTCTGAATATTTATTAATTATGAAATCACTAAAATGGAAATTCCAAAAAAGAAAAAATGTAAAATGATAAATATAAGAAGCAGGTAAAACAGAACACGATAAATGTATATAGCGTTATGAAACCCGTGAACACAATTCCCTCCATTTTTTACCTTCTGCATCTTCACTCTCAATCACACGAACTGCAAATCAATTCGTAATCAACGCTTTCAGCTGGAGAGTCCAATATTTGAAACTAAAGACTCAATAAATATCCATAGTCAACAAACAGTTTAAAAACCACCCAAAACCCTTGTTGGGAGGAGTTCACACTGATTAGTAAATGAATCAACAGTGCAAAAGTAAAACTAAAGGAACAAGAATTAACAAAGTAAATTGAAAATAGACTCATCTTTATTTCTTGAAGCATCCAAGTCAAGAAATCAGTATAGCTAGCTTAGCTTACTGAAGAACAACCACTAATCTAGTGCAAATCACAACCAAAGTGAGAATACAAGAAGTGGACACTCAGACTAGACCGATTTATTACATAAAATAAGAGATCCATCTTCGTAACACATGGTTCACACAAGAACCAACCCTCAAACAACGAAATCACTCAAGATTTACAGACTATTTGAGAGAAATCAGAAATCAAATGAGAATATTTGATTTCTACGGTGAAGAAGAAGACACAAGAGAAACGACGCAATAGAGAGAACGATCGAAGAGTCTAGAAGCCAAAAAGAATGAATCTCAAACTCTAGAGACGCCTTTTATGAGGCTCCTAAAGTGCCCTTCATCCAACGGCTGTGGTGATTGCACTAGGTGACATCCAGGCCTTCCATTCAAAAGGTAAGTAGAAAACACAACTACAGTTTCACAAAACACGTTTTTTCCTTTGCACCGAAAACCAAACAGATTTAAGAGCTGGGCTTCAAATTAAATACCAGCTGGGCCAATAAAAGGTAAGTAGAAAACACAACTTCAGCTTCATAGAAACACGCCTTTTCCCTTACGCCAAAGAACCAAACAGATTTAATAAGCTGGGCTTCAATTAAATTCCAGCTGGGCCAACAATTTCAGCCCATTGGGTCATTGCATCATTATGCCACAATTTCCTTTCAACCCGTTCTCAAAAAAATTAATAAGTACCGATTTTTCCAACCTCTCGTAAATAGTCATCAATAAAGGGTCAAAACCGGTAAGAAATTTCCATAGTCAACAAACATGTTTATTGTGCCAACATTATACACCAAAAGAAAAGGTTGAATTCAAAATTTATTTACAATTATTGAGAAAATCACTGTTTATGGTAATCTAGTAAATGAAATTCCTAACTTTACAGAAAATAAAGAAACTAAATTTTGGCAAATCTTACAACAATGAACATGAGATTTTTCTTTAGTATAGGGATTTCCTTAAACATTTTCTGTTATAAATACTCACTAAAGCAAGCTACAATTATCCTACATACAAAAATGGCTATCTGCAACTGCAAGTTTATCTTTCTTTTCGTTCTCATTAATGTTCCCCTTGTAGCCTTTGCTCAATTTGAACAACCAGTTAAGCAAGCGGGTTGCACCTATTTTCTTAATTTTTAAAAACGATAACATTATTTTTATTATTTTTTTGTATTTGTATTTTTGATAGAATTCTGTTTCGGGGAGTGCACGATGACGGCGGTATGCGGTGATTGTTATTGCAAGGAGCGATGTCTACAAATGCATTTGGGGCGGCATGGTTACTGCAACGACCCGGTTCCTGGATCTATAGGAAAATGTTGTTGTGCAAGACAGGCCCCGGCTCAGGCTCAGGCTCATGCTCAGGCTCTATCGAAAGAAAATAATGTTTTGGGTGGTAACTAATGAAAGTACACAACTGACTTGTGTATTGTTTGATTATCTTTCATTAGTAAAAAGATGTCAAATTTGGTTTTTTGACTATTTGTTGGTGTTTCGTTTAGTTTTGAAGCCACACACATTACAAGATTGGTGCTAAATATCATGAGCGTTATGTAGTGTTGTTTTAGATTTTAGGATAAATTGCAATAGTCATCCTCAACTTTTTTAGAAAAATAGCATACATGACCCTATCCTTTTTTTTTTTTGCTACGATTCACCATCAACCATTCGAAAGTAGAAAAAAGACATCATTGTTTATAGATTCGATAAAAAAATGCACGTTAAAGTGATTTTAAATAGACAAGTTCCTTTTCTGATTCAACAATCCAAAAGCAATTGTACTTTTGTGTCGGCTTTTTATAGGTAAGATGTCACCCTTTGCCTACCAATAATGTGCTTTCTTGGAAGCCATTCAGCCTAAGGTAAGGGGAACGTTTTGACAATTTCACTAGTTATATAGTAAGTATTCTAGTGAATGAATTCCATAACTTTAGGAAAAATAAAAATAAAAAAACTATGTTTTGGCTATCTTACGGGATATGACAGCAAGTCATGTGCAATTTTCATAAATTATAGCAGCGTGTACACTTGTCCATATAAAATATTCATCGTGCAACACTTATTTAACAACGAAAGAGTGAACACATCGCTAAAATAAGATGTATTTTACATATAAAAATGAGTATGAACAAAATTGTCATTCTTTTTCGTCGTCCTCATTTGTGTACCAACATTTTAATCTTTTTAGTTTCTCAAAAAAAATTTAAAAACGATAATATATTTGTATTTTTAATTTGACAGTTATGGAATCGTCAAATAATATTTCATTAATATTGATGATGATTTCTATGTTGATGCTAAAGAGTTGTGAAATAGAACTGATAAAATAAATGTGCTAACTATTGAATATGAATACAATGTCGAAAGAGTAATGCTAATCAGCCTCATAAGTTTATCTGCCAATTGCTTTTTGTAGGGTAGTAAAGTTTCATCTCATGAACAATACAAAATATTACTATTTGACAATTCACATTCTTCTAATCCTCCTCCCTCTTAGGCTTAGTAGTGAGTCCAAACCCAAATGGAAAGAGAGGATCATAATGTGGATCACCTACATTCATCGGAAGTTGATCGACTGATTTGAACCAAGTGCGTGCTAGTTTGCCTGTGAAACCATAATCACCAAACAAAACATCTGTCACACCCTGGCCTTCAGTTCCTGGAAGCCAAGCAGCCACAAGGGCGTCCATTTCTGCAACATAAGGCTCGACCACAACAGGACGGCCTGAGATGACAACAACAACACATTTGACTGCCCCACAGACATTTCTGATGGTGCTTGGACCGGGTTCAGGTATCGTTAGATTCAAGCTATCTCCAAACATTTCCGTGTATGGGGTCTCACCCACGACGACAATGGCATATGAAAATTTGTTGGATTTCACAAAGTTTGTATCTGGATTCTCCATGTAAACAACTTGTGTAGAAGGATCAACAGTCCTTTTCACAGCCGTTAAGATTGTGGTTCCTATAAATGTCAGAAGTATGAAAACCTGAATTAATCGGAACTTCTTTTTGCAAACATTTTTATTAGGTTAATAAAACATACCGATTGTAAGGTCATTGCCCTGAAGACCTTGCCATTCTATTGTCCAGCCTCCACATTGGTTACCCAAATTGTCCGCATGGCTTCCTGCAACTAATATCTTTGGCACTCTCTTTGGAAGGGGAAGCAACGGTTGGTTAGTGCTTTTACCATTCTTCAAAAGCACGAGTGATTTCCTCACGGCTTCCCTTGCCAAGTCCCTATGTTCCTGTTAAATGAATATAATTTAATAAAACCTGATCTTATAATGAAGAAAGGTATAGGTGGAACATATTTAATGAATAATGGGATAGATTGATAACCTGACTGCCAAGTTGGTTTGCCAGGCTAAGATCAGCCATCGGGTTTTCAAAGAGGCCCATAACAAACTTGACCCTTAATATCCTCTTTACGGCATCATCAATCCTGCTCATGGGGATAATATTGTTCTTCACTTGGAAAATCAGATTATCGATGAATTCAGTAAAGTTTTCTGGAAGCATAACCTGGTCAAGAAAAGGGACGTCTAAGCCACATTACATCCATTTTGCTTGTGGTCAACATATAAGATTCTTCACTATCAAAAAACGAAATAATTTTGAACTAAGTTGTGTCCTAAACTAATCTGTTATTTGCAGGCTTTTGTATTTTTCTATATAGGAATTGGAGTTCTCTTATTCTTTTGTTTGTTTGTGCAATAAACAAGTGGTATCAAAGCAACATAATCAATATCTGCATTATTAAATCATTAAGAATTTATTAAGACTAACCATGTCAATTCCCGCTAGAACACCAGCTTGAACTGAATAAGAATAGTTAGAATGTGGTGGGTCTGTAATCCGGTCAATACCCTGCCAATCTGATATGACAAAGCCCTGAAAATGCAATTGTTCATATACAACCAAACTTTAGAAAAATTTCTGTCATTTTAACCAATTTGAAAACGAACAGTTTTAAATTTATTTAAGGGTTGTTACCCTGAACTTCAGAGTGTTCTTAAGGAAGCCAGTGACAAGATCATGGTTAGCATGCATCTTCTTGCCATTCCAGCTCGAGTAAGATACCATTATTGTGGCTACACCCTTTCGAATTGAATCAAGGTATGCCGGCATGTGGATGTTAAGCAAGCCATTGTAGTCAATCACAGTGTTGCTCTCGTCAATTCCCTTGACTGTGCCACCATCTCCTACAAAGTGCTTGGCACAGGCTGCAACTTTTGTCCTGGACCACACATACCAATATATTAGTTAAGTGGGATCATAATTACAAAATGCCATTTAAAAGTACAAACAAACTATCCTAAATGCAGAAGTCACTTAATGTTCATAATCAGGGAATATCCTAAAATTTGAAACCCCAGAGATTGAAGCCGCAAGTGAAAAGAACTACTAAGCATATTTTTGGCAAGTGTTTATGCTTATAGCAATGAGTGGTGATTAAGTGGGACCTACGAAATATCTGGACAAAAAAAGCATGTATAAACATGCATATAAACACTTGCCAAACATAACACTTGCCAAACATACCCTAAAAATCAACAGCACAAAAAGGAAATTTATTTGACGAGAAAATATTTTGAACAGGAGGGGAATGAATGTTATCTATCAACAATTAAAAAGTTGGTATCTGTATCTGCATTAAGTGTTGTTATCCTTATATCAAAGAATTGATTCTAAACATGGAAAAGCAAAGTTTATCCATCGACACAGAGAAATACCACGCGACAAAATCAAGTGATATTGTGAAAAAGGAATTATCCTTTTTTCATTGCTAAAGTTTGGTAAAGTAGTAATTCTAATTTTATCACAACTGATATATGCCAAATCAAATACCATATTAAATGGACCTAAAAGACTAGGAACGATGATATCTGATAACATACGAATACACAGTTTGAAAATATGAAATATATTGCCAATCAAAATCAGGACACCCACGTGATCACTTTCCACATAAAAGTTGCATGTCAATGGGGCAGACTGGGCAGTTACCACTTTCCCACAAGAAAAGTATGACAATTGGTAAGTTATTCGAAAAATATCCGCATAAAGTAACTTTGATCTAAAGCAAAGTGCAAAGAAGATTCATACTTTCCAGCTACAAAAGGAACACCCTTTTGAGAATTTGCGGGGAGATCTCCCTGTAAACCAGGTATAATTTCAGTCATTGCTTGAACAATCTTATGATCTTCGCTATAGCTTTCGTAACAGCGACCCCATCTAGGATCCCTGCATACCTGTAAGTATTCGAATGATCAGTAATGGTATAGTATAATACAACCCACCACATGGGAGAGAAGACTATAAGCATGTTGCCAAATTTACTTACTGCAATACAGGGTGAAAAAGCATATTGGATTCCTGTGGCTCTAACTTCAAGTGCAGTGGCAGCTCCAATCCTCTTCAAAAGTGCTGGATCTCTGATCCAAATTCAAATTATTAGGCATGTAAATAAGAGAACAGACATAAAAGTCTAGAAATTATAATTACAAGTGGCCAAAAACTCGATAAAAAAGGAGAGGACTCAGAAGTTTCTACACTCAGTATTAATCCCATAAATTAAACACGAGGATAGCACAATCTTCAAACAAAATGAGACAGACAGAGACAGAGATTCAGATTCCATAAAGTATTGGATAGAACATAACTTTTTTTTAGTTTATTTCTAAGCAGGACTTTTTAAACCACTAACAAGAAACAAATACAAATTCTTAAGACCACAAAATTTCCATTTTTCAGCTACTTTGCAACTTATCAATTCTCCACCATACTTTTAAGAATATGATGCACCTATTCAGTTTGAAGGAACAATATATCTTTTGAACATAATCACATTCAGCAACCCATTTTTCCTGAAAGATATTTAAAACGCATACATACACAACAAACAGAAACTCCAAAACACACTCAAACAAGAAACTTTAAATATAATTTCAATAAACAACCTTTGAGTTTTCACAAACATAAATATAACTATAAGCTATTTTACATAGCTAAAAACAACATTACACCTAAAAGAGCTTCTACAATATTCTCAATTAGGTAAGTGTTAAAACTTGCCTGGTGACCCCAAGTCCAACATTGTGAGGAAAAATAGTAGCCTTGTAGACATTGTTGTGACCATGAACTGCATCAACCCCATAAATTATAGGAATTCCGAGCCGCGTTGAAAGAGCACCCTTTTGAAGTTCATTAACCATATTAGCCCAAGTCTCAGCAGTGGCCTTAGGTGCTGGTACACTTCCCCCTCCACTCAATACACTCCCTGCCCAGAATCAAATTCTTCTTTGTAAACGACATTCAAAATTCGAGAAAAGTAGAAAGTTTTGGTGAAAGTTATGTACCAATAAAATATTTCTTCATAACATCAGGGGAGGCAT